TTTGAGAATAAGTACATTTTTATTTTTAGGGTCTAAAATATCTTCAATAATTATATTTAGTCAAAATTTGTTTAAAAAAACTTATTTGAGTATGTTATTTTTTGATGTTACTATTTTTTTGTTGGACGTGTTATTGTTGATGTTACTATTTTTTTGTTGAACGTGTTACTGTTTAATATATATCATTATAAAATTCAAATGATACACAAAAATCAAAGAAATATTAAAAGTTTAGCATTCTAATATTTAGATATTGGAAATATAAAAACTGTCAATTAGGTATACACTATTTATGGTATGGATAATTATGGAATATATTTTTAAAAAAAAATTAAAAATAATTTTAAAATGTGTACTTATAGACAACTATTTGATAAAAAAGAAAACTTGAAGAAGGATAAAATTAGAGGTGGTAATTAAAATCAAATAAATTTTAAAAAATGTACCCTTATCTCACTATCTCTTTTTTTAAAACTAAACCAAAGTCCATTTTCTGCTACAATAATTGAGCCTTCTCTTTCAAAGATGAAAATCATTCAAATATAATAATATTATTTAGATTTAATTTATTAATTTAATAGATCACAGTTATTGAATTAACAGTAAGTCCCAAAAAATATTAAAATTTATTGTCAATTTAATGATTATAATACATTAAATCAACAAATTAAATTCAAATAATATTGCTCAATCGATAATATACCTCGACACCTATCCAATGATCAACCGTCGATATTAATTAGAAATATTTTCCATTGAAAATTCAAAAATAAAAAAAAAATAAATATAGGCGCATCTCACGCGTATGCGGGAAGGGGCCCACTACTGCCCAATAATTGAAGAGTGGGCTTTATTGGCTAAGCCACGTGTTTTTTTTTTTTTTTTGTTTTCAAAAAAATGAATTAGATATTCTGTTCCAGTTAGGCATCATCCCGGATTAAAATTTCATTGCGGTGCATTATTTTAATCACTTAAGAAATGAAAATATTTTGATATATTTCAGAAATGTTTCGATCTGTTTCAAAAACATAATAAAAAAAATACAAAATTTAAAAATTATTTTTTCAAAATATTAATTAAAATATATCAAAGTATCTTGAAATATTACGAAATAATTGTGCAAATACATTTAAATATTATAAAACATCTCAAAACATTATGAAATACTTCGAAATATTAGAATTTTGATTTTATCACTGATTTATTTCGGTCTCCTTTAAAATATAAACGTTTTAGATGTTTTAACCATTTCGAAATAAAATTATGATCATTGAACATTATGTAGTCTTGGAAAATTTCCCTTGGTAGTGAAGCTATTGTTGAATGGTGGACAACTTTGTGACATGAGAATGAATTTAATGCTTGCTTAATTTTCTTCATTGATAAGAATATATCTCATGCAATTGCCTTAATTTTCTTCATTAATTGTAAATTGTACTCCGAAAGATCGTTCGAATCTCAATTTCTACTTCCAAAGATCAAAAATCTCAATTTATACCCTCAAAAATAAAAATTTATATCAATATGCACCTAAAATTAACCGCCGTCATTTTACTGTCTGAAACTAAATTGATAAATTATGCCTAGTTTCCTCGTACTTGTTACTTAATCATTTGACCCCCTTCACAAAATAAAAGGTAATATGAAATTATGATTATTTTTAAGTGATATATTGCATTGTATATAAAACAATATTATATAAATACCTACATTCTATTTTTGTGTTACTGTTTGATGTTACTATTTTTTTGTTAAGTGTGTTACTGTTTGATGTTACTATTTTTTTGTTGAGCGTGTCATTGTTTAATGTCACTGTATTACGTGTATGTGTGAATGTATATATATAAAATTTCAAAATTCAAATGATACACAAATATCAAAAAGAATCTTAAAAGTCTCACATTCAATTAGGTATGCACTATTTATAGTAGGAGTAAAGGACTTTTATCACTTTTTTTTAACATATATACTTTTATCCTAATTATTTTAAAAAATATATTTTTATCCTATTAATGTTTTTTTGGGAAGTACCGGCCACCCTAAGCCCTTTTTTTTTGTCAAACACTATTACAAATGGTAGGACGACTGGACGAGGATAACCTAAACATTAAGGTTGAAATTTTTGTGATTTCCTCTTAATGGATGTTTTGGGCTGATGGGCTAAAAAATGGACCTGGGCCACAAAAGCCCAGTGAAGGGGGTCAAATTTGGATCCAGACTGTTTGGTCCACTCATGTTGATAGTTTCATATTGTTGTTTTTGTATTTGGATGGGACTTGAATATACAGACTCACCCACTGAAATAAGACTGAAGTTGTTATCTGTCTCGAGTTTATTTTTTTTGTCCTTTTGTCATTCACTATTACAGGGGAGGAGAAATGCTGATGGAGCACCAACCTCCATGTGACAAGTGGGGGCTGAGGAGACTCACTCACTGAAATAGGGCTGAAGTTATTATCTGTGTCGTGTTTGGTATCTATTTTTACAGAATGAAATAAAATTCACATAAAATGTAAGGACTACATCGGCTACCAATCATGAGTGTCTAGTAACACATGAATCTTGGAGTACAAATGAATCTCAGTGGCGGTGAGAGGACAAGTCGATCCACATTTCATCATCATCAAACCTTATCCCAAAATTGACTCATTAACTTCGCCCAATAATACCACCTTTTTATTAAGTTTTATTTTCTGTCTTTATGCCGAACAGAAGATTGCGTCATTTTGGTCCAACCAGCGTCGCAGTCCAGCCCAGCCCAGCCCAGCCCACTAATACATAACCATAAAATATATATATATTTTTTTTGGAATATAATATGGTACGATAACATTTCGGGACGATTAATTGTATGTTTGAGTTTTAGAACATATTTACACGTAGTTGGCGGTATGAGCTCTATTTTAATTTTGGATATTTATTTCAAAAATATTGGTTTTTTAATTATATTTTAATTTATACATAAGAGTCTCACACTCTCTTCAACTTTAAATTTTGTTTGACTAAACTATTTAACCCCATTCAAACTCTCCACCATCCTTGCCTATCTTTTTTCATCAAAGTACTAAATTTTTATAATATTAAATTATCTCATTAAATTAAATTATTCCACGTAGGTTATGTGATTATTCCCATAAAATTATTTTAAATATGAATTTTTTTTCATTAATTTAGGACAAAAATACTTTTGTCGGAGTTTGGGATGAGCGGTAATGATGACAATAACGATAGTGGTAAGGTTAGGAGTTGTACAATTGTGACGAGAGATTAAAAATGTTTTGCATCGCACGGGGAGACGTGGCTCGAAATATGGATAGAATTGTAAAAGAATCAAATTACCCATAATTTATTTGGTCACCCCTAGCTGAAAACTTGGAGATATGATTAAAAAGTAGGCTTTGAAAGCATTTTTAAACTTGTAATTTTTTTTAAAAAAGACATAACTAGATTTCATAAGATTGTTTTCCCATCAAAATTAAATAAAAATTTTAAATTTGTGAATAACCTACCTTTAATCGGATTAGGAATAAAATTAATTGAGATATGTATAAATTGATCGAGACCCCCTAACTGTTGAACCAAAAAAAAATTCAATTCAACAACGAATTATTCAAGTTCAACTTATAAAATAAATAACCATTTTTAACTTTATATACATTGATTAAAAACATAAACGACACTTAAAATTACCTATTATTCGAAACTCTCTTTTAGAACCCTCTAACATGGAGCCTAAATTTTAGTCAAAATCAAAATATCTAACACCTATGACCTGTCATTCTACCACACGAATTAAAATCGTACACAAAGACACACACGTCGACTAAAAAATAAATAAAAAGAAAAAAAGAAAAGAAAAGGAGAGCAAATCAGAATCTTACAACCTCTCGCTTTCTCTCTCAATTAACAAAACTTTAAAAAGGTAGTAATGCTCAATCAAACAACTACAAGCGCACATGAAAAAAAGAAGTGCATAAAATAATTCGTAATCATCCCATATCTATTATTATTAATCCCCGCATCAAAAGCTACCTTTTTTTCTTTAACCTAAATGTCCACCTCCTTTTGGACCCCACCATGGCCCCACCAAAACGATAGCAGCAATCAATCTTTATCCTAGGCCTGACAATTACACCCAACACACGGCTAACCATCTATATTTAGCTTTCACGAGTTTGAATGAAGACCCCTGAAGCGAACACACAAAATCTGATAAATAAATCCATGGAATTTACGGTAGTTCAATACAATACAAATTTGTTAAAATGTCAAAATTATTTAATCTATATGTATATATTATTATATTCGTATCATATTCAAACCGCAGGAGTCTTGTTTAACCAGTTTATATTTTTTTTTTCAACAATTAAATATATTTGGACTAATTTATACGTACTTTGACTATTTTTCTTCTCCGATTCGATAAAAGGCAGACCATTCACGTTAAAATTAGAATATTTATTTATAACCCGACATCAAACAGTTGTCAAGATTTAAACTTAAAACATGTAAATTTACAATTCTTTCTTGTTATCATTTAAAAAATTTACATTTATTTATTTAACGAATTTAATAAATCTATCTATTTACTATTTAAATGTAATAAAATTGTTCAAACGTTACAAAATTATTCTGTCACTTTCTAATTCCATTGCCACACCATTGACAACCAATCCCAATACAAAAGAAAAAAATCCCACCAAACATTGCCCCTTTCTTTTTATCCAAATTTACCCCGTTCACCCCATTCAGTTAATGCGTTACAACCTTTATCCCCTTATCAATGTAATTCTACCACAAGATAAGGGCATTTTATCAACTATATAAACGGTCCCATTGCTAGACCTCCAAACGCGCCACCGTTCCTCTCCTTTTCCCAAAACTCCATCCAGATGGAAAAACCTGGTCATACATAAACAGAGAGTGAGAGGGAGAGACCTATACATACATAAACAGAGAGAGAGAGAGAGAGGGGGGGAACTATGTGTGGGTGTGTATGAGAGAAAAAGAGAGAGATGACAAATCCTGAAGCTGAGCGACACCGAGTCAGAAACCGAGCCGTGGTTGCAGAACCTGTACGGTCTAAAGTTCCACTAAGAGTCCTACTCCAAGTAGCTTCAGTGGCGAGTGGAATACAATTCGGTTGGGCTCTGCAACTCTCACTATTAACCCCCTACGTTCAAGAGCTTGGAATTCCACACGCTTGGGCTAGTATAATATGGCTCTGCGGCCCACTCTCAGGCCTTTTTGTCCAGCCTATAGTGGGCCATATGAGCGACCGGTCCACCAGCCGGTTCGGCCGCCGGAGGCCGTTTATTGTGGCCGGAGCGGTCTCGATCGTTGTCGCCGTTCTCATTATTGGTCATTCGGCCGATATCGGTTGGTTGTTCGGTGATCGAGGCGAGAAGAAAATGCGAGCTGTGGTTGCTTTTGTGCTCGGGTTTTGGGTGCTTGATGTCGCTAATAATATGACTCAAGGTCCTTGTAGAGCTTTTCTCGCTGATCTTACTGGTAAGCCTATCTCTCTCTGATTTCATCTTCTTAATATGGATGTTTGTCATATGTGTATGTCCATATATCGATATGCGGATTTATTTGGTTGAATCTCTTGTTTTTTCCGTGGAATTTTGGTTAATTGGATGTGAATGAAACCCTAATTATGCTCGGATGTGGAAGATGAACTGTCCTCGATTGGAAATTCGAATGTCGACTTTCGTGTGCGATTGGGAAACTTCCCAAGGAAAAAGCTACTTGTCATTATGGTTTTTGAGTATGGTTTTTTACTTTAGTGAGAAGATACTTCGTTTACTTCAATGGACAATTATGCCCTCCAACTATAGTCTTAGGGTGTGTTTGGATAATGAGTTTGGATAGAATAGGATTTATTCTTTATATCTTAACCCATCCGATCCAAACCTACTCAGCCTGTTAAATTGTATGGGTTATAGATTATATCTAGTCCAAACCATTGTTTGGAAAATAAAAATGCAATTTCGTGGGCCGCATGGATTAGACAATTTTTTTTGTAAAAGTTTACCATTCTCCCCATGGATATATTCAATCCAATCCAATCCTTTGTTTTACGGGTTATAATTTTTGACACAACATGAAAACACAATTCGAAATCGATACGAAATTATAGGGTTAGAATTACCATTTCTTGACACGAACCTGTATATGACACGACCCATTAACATGAATAATAAATGAATTGAGTTAGTATTAAATACGGAATTGATATGATTAACACGTTTAAGTAGGTATTATAAGAATAAAATGTCAAATTTTTATTACATTTTATTAAGTATTGACCTAATTCTTGTAAAAAAAAATAATTTTAATAATTATTTTTATTAACTTAATTTTTAGTTTATGGAAAAAGTATGACTATAGATTCGATTAAGTTATATATTTAAATATAAAATTGAGCGTTAAATTTTTTATTCACAGGTTATATGGGTCAACATGAATACGACGCGAAAATAAATAGATCAACGCAACACAATACGATTAGTTAAAAGGTTGAGTTAGAGAGTATCACAAAATAAATAAATAAAAGAAATAGAAGAAGAGGAGAAGGAAAATAAGTATACTAATATATTCGACNGCGTTAAATTTTTTATTCACAGGTTATATGGGTCAACATGAATACGACGCGAAAATAAATAGATCAACGCGATACAATACGATTAGTTAAAAGGTTGAGTTAGAGAGTATCACAAAAAAAAAAAATAAAAGAAATAGAAGAAGAGGAGAAGGAAAATAAGTATACTAATATATTCGACCTAAAGGAGAGGTGGAAAATGATGAAAGTCTCACCAATTAATTTTTCTTTTTACATGATATAGAATAAAGAGTATCTGCTATTGTGAATTCCTTGAATTATGAACAGGGGAAAAAAAATAGAAACCCTAACCCTAATCACCAATATTCAATAACTTAGCAAAACAAAGACACATCAATTAAAGCAAAACCATGCATCAAGCAACTCTACATCAGAGTTTGTGTGGATAGGCCCTCAGTTGGACTCAAAAAGTTTAGCTTGTAGCAAATGGAAGAATGATTTTTCTTTTTGTTGGTCTTCTTGGGCTATTGCGGTTGTAGTATGATATTGGGTAAAGTATGTTTAAAATATGTATATATCACCTTGTATGTGTTCATCAAAAAAAGTGAATTGAAATTCCACATCGGTTACGACAAGAGGTTCAGGTTGATTGATAAGCTCTACTCCACTCATCCAAACGTTAGACCCTTTTAGAGGCGGTACATGGACCTGGGCTTGTTGGTATTTTTGGGCTCTTGCGATTGAAGTATGATGTTCGGTAAAATATGTTCAAAATATGAATGTATCCCTTTGTGTGTGATTATCAAAAAAGAATGATTTTTTTTTTTAGTTTCTCTAAACCTTCCAAAAAAGAATAATTTTGTAAAATGGCCACGGAATTTATTGTTCTAAGCGGTTCTTTGTCTTAGAAATGGTGTTTTGGAGAATACATTTCTGAGACTGAACCAAGCAGGCCTTAAAGTCTCTAATACCCATCTGTTATGTGAATTAATTTCAATCGACTATTTGAATTGGTGGGCCCAACTTTTTACTGATTCAGTAGAAAATTTGAGAATCATTAAATAGTAAATATGAAATGCTGTATTTTCCTAATGCATTGAATATACTGTGTTCTAAGTTTGTTATATTTGAATTGGGATGAGTTATGTGACCAATCCAAATCCACAGGCTTTCCCTTTTCTTCACTATTTTTACATGGTTGTTTCTTTATGTCTTCTTTCTTTTCGAAGAGGCTATTGTGTTGCTGAATGTTTTTATACAGGTTTCTTTTAAAGTGATTCAACATTTTTGTTTAGCCAGCAGATTCCAGTCCTCTGTTTGTCATCCATGTCTTGAACATCTTCTCTGAGCTTGTTTGGTTCTGGTAGAGTTTCGAAAATGGTGGTGGAGTGCTGCAAGATTGGATCCAGACGCAAAAAGAAGAGAGATTGGGAAATTGTCTGAGAGAGAGTTATGGATGACAGTGCGAGTATGAATGGGATTTTTCTTGGTGTGTTTGATGACAATGCTATGGGTTATTTATTGTTGCTAAATATGTTTTTAAGTGCCCATTCAGATGGTTGTGTCTTACTGTCTTATACCAACCATTAATTGAATTTGATTTCAAACAACTCTTGCTCTGTCCCTCTCTCTCTTACTGTAACCTTTGTGTGGGAAACATTCCACCAAATAATTGCAACCATTGCACCCCTCCATGAATTCTCATGCACATGTGCTCGTTCCATGCCCGGGTTAACAGTTTTCATTTACTTTTACACCACAAGCTTTTGACCAGCATAATTCATTGGCAGAGCTAGAGCATCATGTATGAAAGAGGACAGAACTGAGAAAAACCAAGCACACGTCCCCTAAAAGTTTATACATCTATTATGAACCTCTGTTTTGAGGAAGCCTAATTTAGGAGACAAATTTACTTGCTCTGTGATGCTCAAACCAGCATATTTACATGCTCTCTATAGAAAGTTTCTGGAAACAACCAGCAACACATTGACATTTTTCTTCTTCTGACTTTCTCGCATGCTAGGTAAGGATCACCGAAGGAATCGAGTAGCAAATGCGTATTACTCTTTATTTATGGCAGTTGGTAATGTCCTTGGCTATGCTACTGGAGCTTACAGCGGCTGGTACAAGATTATACCATTCACCATCACCTCCGCATGCAACATCAATTGCGCCAATCTCAAGGCTGCTTTCTTTCTTGATATCATTTTTATATTAATCACTACATATGTAAGCATCTCGGCAGTCCACGAACTGCCCCTGAATAGCAACCATGGTACCCATTGTGCCGAAGGAATGCCTGAACAATCAAGCCATGTTGAAGAAGCTTTCCTCTGGGAACTGTTCGGGACTTTTAGATATCTCCCAGGCACTATTTGGATAATCCTGTGTGTTACTGCTCTGACCTGGATTGGATGGTTTCCATTTCTATTGTTTGATACTGATTGGATGGGTCGAGAAATTTATGGTGGCGAGCCCAATGAAGGGCAGAATTATAGTATTGGAGTCAGAATGGGTGCACTTGGTCTAATGCTGAATTCAGTGGTCCTTGGAATAACTTCAGTGTTCATGGAGAAGCTCTGTCGGAAGTGGGGGGCTGGTTTTGCTTGGGGACTTTCAAGCATCCTCATGTCTCTCTGCTTCATATCGATGCTCATAATTACAGCTATGGTGAACAATATGAACTTAGGCGACAGTCTTCCTCCGGACAGTATCGTGATTGCTGCTCTAATAGTATTTGCAATTCTTGGTATTCCATTAGCGGTAAGTTGTTCCATTCTCCTTATGCAAGTAAATCTCCACTTGCAGTCAGCTGGTCAAGAAATTAATGGAAATTTATTAGAGTTAATCTGTTGGTTTTTTAAAATTTTATTGATGAGAAAATAAAAGTACAATAGAAAGGTACAATGGTGGATAGGAGATCTGACCAACAAACTTTAAAAATAGATGAAGCCCACATAAAATGTATCACAAAGCTCTCCAATCTGCCATAGTACAAGAGAGTAAGCCATTGAATCCTTCATAATCGAATCCCAAAACAATAGTACCTCCAATATGCCTATGCAAGTGATTTTTGCTCAGTTGGTAACAGCTCATAACCAGTTCTGCCTGGCTATATCATCCTGAAAAAAAATTAGTCCTCTCTCTCATTGCATGCATACCATACATACTGCAGGGAGACCATTAGATTGCTATCCCCAAGGTAAGTATTTTCTCCCAACAGCAACAGTGTCATATGAAACATTTTTTTTGCAGATCACTTACAGTGTTCCATATGCCTTGATATCCGCACGTATTGAGGCCTTAGGACTTGGCCAAGGTGGGTTATTCGTGGATCGATTTTATTTTAGTCTATCTTTAGATATGCAAACATCAGAGTGCCTAAGTTCTCATTGTAACCTTGCAGGATTGTCAATGGGTGTTCTGAATCTGGCAATTGTGATCCCACAGGTATATTTTGCACCTTCCTCATCAGCATTTGTTTCCACGTGCGTTGATAACAACATTAATTTGTTTTCCTTTTTTTTATCAATCCTTATTGTATTGATAATGACAGAATTGCATGATACGTTCCTAGAAAAGCCTTGACACAGTTGGCCAGTTGAATCTCACCACCACCCTAATGATTAAAAGATTTCCACATACTAGGCCCAAAATCTAGCCTCCTCCACGTGAGGGAATGTGTTGAAATACAAATACTTAAGTTAATCCTCTCTAACAGCTTAAACTTTTAAAGTAGATGGTTGTTTAACACCTAAGATATCAGTAAACCTCGTCGATGAAATGCCACTTGATGAGAAATTTTATCTATTTTGTATATCTATTACTTCCTCCATCCCAACATTACAGTCCACCATTCCTTTTTGGTTTGTATCAAAATTGGAGTTTAGATGAAAAGTCAAAGTGCTTTCTATACTACTTTCTGGATATATTCTTATGTCAAACTAGTGATAATTTTCAAAAAAATGAAATTTCAAATTTAAGGAAGTATAATAGTGGATACTTTCCCACTGCAATTTATCCTGATTCCTTAGAATATTGAATTCCCCAAAAGAGCCCCAATTAATGGGACCAAGGGAGGAGTTTTAGCAAGTTAGAGCTGGGGTTTGGTGTCTCCCCTTCTCCCACTTACCCACAAAATAAGCTCCTATTTGGCCCCTGGATTTCTCAACTGCCAATAACTTTTTCCCCCTTGATCTCTTTCCCTCACTCCCTGAGATACATGTTGCAATCACACATGGGTATTGCATGTACAGGGCCCTTTAGTATTATGAGAGGGAGAGTTGGTCCCCAATTTATCTTGAACATGTGAAAGATTTTCATTACCCTTCTGAAATTGTGAATTCCCCACCATGAATAACACAAGCAAAGGTGAAGGTGTGTATAGACAAATAAAAAAGGGTGAGGGAAGCATTTGTTTTTCTTCTTTATGCCCCCTTCTTCTTTCCAGTCTCTGCAGACTGCTATCACACACACTGTGTGTGCTTTGACGTAGTTGTTAATTACAAATAAATCACAAAATCAGATAAATAGCTTTGGTTACCTCCTTCCATTGGGAGGGGGTTGAACTTCCATCAGGGATTAGATATGGAGTTGATATTGTTTCTCATACATACCTAGAGGCATTTCTTCCTCTGGAGGAATGTTGATTAATTAACAGTTTACTTTGTCAAAGTACATTTTACCTCGGCATTCCCCCTTCAAAGCATGCGGGGAATCAGGAAAATAGCCAATCAAAATGATCATTTAGGAAAAGCGGGGACCTACATTATGGCAGCAGATCTGCTGATATTTGTGGCAAATACAGAAGCTTATTTTTATATTTTTTATATGGTTAGTGTAACGTAGATATACGTCATCAATCCCATCCATTGTTGCTTCCTACAGAAATGGATAGTTGTGTTTTACTGAAATTTTTAAACAAAAAGCTTCCGGAAGAAAATAATCTTTTATGTTAACTTTGCATGAAATATCCATTTGAACCAATGTCGTTAAAAACACGTTATGGACTATCAAATGGAGTTGGGGNTTCTTTCCAGTCTCTGCAGACTGCTATCACACACACTGTGTGTGCTTTGACGTAGTTGTTAATTACTAATAAATCACAAAATCAGATAAATAGCTTTGGTTACCTCCTTCCATTGGGAGGGGGTTGAACTTCCATCAGGGATTAGATATGGAGTTGATATTGTTTCTCATACATACCTAGAGGCATTTCTTCCTCTGGAGGAATGTTGATTAATTAACAGTTTACTTTGTCAAAGTACATTTTACCTCGGCATTCCCCCTTCAAAGCATGCGGGGAATCAGGAAAATAGCCAATCAAAATGATCATTTAGGAAAAGCGGGGACCTACATTATGGCAGCAGATCTGCTGATATTTGTGGCAAATACAGAAGCTTATTTTTATATTTTTTATATGGTTAGTGTAACGTAGATATACGTCATCAGTCCCATCCATTGTTGCTTCCTACAGAAATGGATAGTTGTGTTTTACTGAAATTTTTAAACAAAAAGCTTCCGGAAGAAAATAATCTTTTATGTTAACTTTGCATGAAATATCCATTTGAACCAATGTCGTTAAAAACACGTTATGGACTATCAAATGGAGTTGGGGGAAAGATTGCCGTGTAATTGTTGAGAACCTTGTTTTCGTGCCAAAATTATTAAGCTAAAGACACAAAAACCTTTTACCGATAGATAGTGGTTATGATTATACCATTAATAACACTGCACTATGAGGCAACGTAAACTGTCATATTTTGGCAGCTGACTGGTAAGGTTATTGTGCCGGATCCGAATATCATGCTTTAGCAATCATGGAGTACCATATTCTGTTATATTTTATATATATGTAATGGTAATTTGAAACATGCATGATACAACCAAATTGGCCTAAACAGTTCATCCCTAGATTCTGGTGATGTTGTTACATGAAGTTTCCTTATGCCTTTAGTTATATTGAGCCATGGTTCATTTTAGATGCTTATTTTTACGACTTTCTATTTAGTATTTGAGAAATGCAAGAACACTTTAAAGAGCAAATTTGTGTCAATAAAGTATTCTAGAGGAACCAAATTTTCTAGCCACTAAGGTGTTGAAGCTCTGGTTTTTGAGAACAGGTTGTGGTGTCTATTGGAAGTGGACCATGGGATCAGCTATTTGGTGGTGGTAACTCGCCAGCCATAGCTGTAGGAGCAGCTTCAGCATTTGCTGGTGGACTTATAGCCATCTTGGCAATTCCTCGAACTAGGGTAGAGAAGTCCAGGATCCACCAATGAGGTATTATATTGATTGTAATTTTCTATGTTATTTTTCTACATGTAAAGTATAATGCAAGCACTATGAATTTAAGTAGTCAATTCCTTTTAAATTTTCCATTGTGAAGATTCTTAGACCCTTTTTCAGAAGCTTTTATACGATTAAAGGGCCTGAATACATTTTTTACTTCAAATAACATCAACTTGATGGATAAGCTGTATGTTAGAAACAAAAAAGGGGGGTGGGGGGTGGGGAGGGGGGACGGACAAAGGAAATAAAGGTCACCTGTTTGAGTTTCTATAATCAGAAGGAAAAAAAGTAGTAGCAGCAATGATGTTGACGATGATAATGTGAATGTGCCCTTTCCTTTTTCCCTTATGTTTTTTGGGTAAAGAGCAGCCATAGTTTCCATCAAAGAAATAAATTTTGGGTTACTTGACAATTTCAGATTGGATATTTTCAAGTTTCTTGAGGCTCTCTGCTTGAATGAACTCGCAGAACCTGTGTTGTCACTCTGATATGAAGTGTGCCCTTACTTTTCTGGAATTCCTTTATTTTCAATTTGGGTGGATTGGAAATCCGTGTGACATTTAATCTTTACTTTTTAGTTTTGCATCGAGTTTTATGTTGCCACAAATTGAAGGACTTTTCGTCCCTCATGTAATCCTTATTCTATGTTAATAAAATGTTTTGTTGTTGATTATCAAAAAGAAAAAGAAAAAACATAATGTGACTGTGACAAGGTCATTAGGTATATGTTCAGTGAAAGACAAGAACTTAACACTGCAACTAGGCTTTTTAGCCTCTTTGATAGCGNATAGGTAATGGTAATTTGAAACATGCATGATACAACCAAATTGGCCTAAGCAGTTCATCCCTAGATTCTGGTGATGTTGTTACATGAAGTTTCCTTATGCCTTTAGTTATATTGAGCNCGGGAAGTTCTCCACGAGTATGAAAAGCTGGAGGGCTTTGTACCATCCTATGAAGTATGAATACTGTATTAAGGCCTCCATATCTGTATCGGACATCGTATCAAGTACGATACTTGNCAGGAAGTTCTCCACGAGTATGAAAAGCTGGAGGGCTTTGTACCATCCTATGAAGTATGGATACTGTATTAAGGCCTCCATATCTGTATCGGACATCGTATCAAGTACGATACTTGTCGGCTACTAGAGGATACGTATCAAATATGATAATAATAAAATGTGGATACTTCACTGATAGTAGGATACGTATCAAATACATACTGTATTATCCGATAATAATAAAATACGTGGGTACTTCGCCGACAGTATCAGTAATGCATAAATTTTGGATATGAAAGTGCATACACGGAGCAAGACCATAAAATGAGTTAACTGCATGATATCTCTTTGTAACAAGAATTTCTAAGCAATCAATTAGTTAAATCTTAATTTTGATTTTTTTGGTTCGTCAAGTTCACTATACCACAATGATACAATCAATACTTTCTAAATTATAATTATGAACTTCTCAAAGAGTAGTTAAAATATAGTTTACACTTATTATAGACATATCATCCGTATCCGTATCTAATTTTTTAGGTTTTGACGAAATGTTATATCCGAATCATATCGTACTCATATCCCATATTTTATCTGTTCTTTTCTTATAGGTACAATCTATACCAGCGTGGTTGGATTTAGTTCAACAGCCCAAGGACTTGGAGCACAAATTTTGTGTTTTCCAACTGCTTGAATTGGTCGTTACAAAATTACCGCATGTTTCAAACCTATTCTTAGATCCTGAATAAAATTTTTAAAACTCATGTTCAAGTAAACCCTTTTTATTTTTAGGACCCAAGTTTAATTAAGCCTATTTTTATTTTTGAAGCCTCTTACAAAATTTGTATACTTGTATTCAATCAAACCCAATTTGGTTTTGAGGGCCTCTAAAATTTATCGTAAAGATTTTAGATCCAAGTTCAATTTCATTTTTAGGATCCCTTCGTTAATGTGATACTAATTTCTTTCATAATAATGCTATTAACGTTTTATAATCTACCATATGAAAGAAAAGTATATCATATTTTTTTCAATATACTATTGTCAACTAGTTTGAATAACTTAAAAATTATTTTATTTGTTGATTTTTCTAAAATTTAATAATCTTTTAATAAGTTAGAGTTGTGTAGAGTTTTGAGAATTTGTTTGTATTGTCAATGGCAACATAAAACCCTATTTGAGTCTATAATGTTTGGCTTAGGTGTTGTTATTTATGAATTTATTTTCTTTTCATTGATTGTACCAATATTAAATGTAGTAAAATTCTATATTTCCCTTATATCAGCTATTGTACTTTATTCGGATTAGCTACTATCTATTGAAAAAAAAACATATTACCAAAAACTTGAATACAAAATATCTAATAATTACTTTCACATCTCAAAAGCCAATAATATAGGTTTTAATAAATAAATTTTGTTATATAATTAGAGAATAATAATGATATGACATTAAAATTTAATAGGTCCTCATTTAAATTTTTGCTTTAGGCCGTGTTTAGTGTGAGGCTGCCCCCTGTAATGACAGAAAGGAGAAGTCTAATTGTTTTGTATTTGGCCTTGGTGAGTGACGAGCACCAAGCAAAATTTCAACTGTTATAATTGTTTTGTATTCAGTTGCTTGCTGACTTAAGTGTGTTGTGAGTTACTTGGAGACTATATTAGTTTGTTTGTGAACATTATATTAATACCTTTCTGGTATGATCTCTGGTAACTGAGGCATCCTTATATGGTTTTTTCTCTTACACACTTATTATTGAGATACTTCTGAAGGAACAAAGGCGCATTAAAGATAAAAGAATGCCCCGAAAGATGTATATGTATATTCTTTACATTGTTCTATCTGTTCTCCAAGTTGTAAACAAATGGATTTTAAATTGATACGTGTGCCAGCATGTTGTCTGAGTTCAATTACAAATATGTTGCATCGATTCTCAGATACCATATGCATGGATGTGGAGACCTTGGTCAGTAGCCACTCAATTGTTGAATTTAGGAAAGTGGGGACTTTGTTGTGGAAGTGTCACGTAAAGCACAACTTTCATCAACCTTCTAAAATATTTATTGCCCAAATATGTGAATATTATATAAACTTTGTATGGAAAATTTAAATGTAATGTGTTTATTATCATTGCAAAATATGCAACTAATTGGCCCTAACTGAATGACATTACCTCTTTCATTTTGAGAAGTTTGTGGGCAGCGAGTTTCATTATCCTTTCAGTTATGTTTAGCCATTGTTCTTACTTCTTGTTAAACCCTATTTGAGACTTATTTTGGTTTTTTTTTGAAAAGGGGGAAAGAGTACTGATTTTGTGGAACTGTGTAATAATGGCAGTTTTTTGGGTGGTGTGGACGAAAGAAATGAGAGAATATTTGAAGACAAAGAAGAATGTGGGGATATTCTTTGTGATAGAGTAAAGTTCTTGGCTTCCCTTTGAACTTCGACCGATAAGGAGTTTAAGGATATGCCTTTGTTTGCAATTCATCTTTTGATTGCATAGCAGCATGTCATGAGAAGATCAACCTCTTAGTTCTTGGATGATTTAAATTTTATGTTGTATTTTTTCTTTTTCAAGGGGTGGGTCCCTTGTCCACTATTATGTACTTGTCTTCTTTGTTTTATTTAATAAAAGTTTTGTTACTTATAAAAAAAATGTTGTAAATGAAGGGTGTCAAAACATATGACTTACTGTTTATTCATCTTCTAATTTTTTAAGGAATTTTATATGATAACTTTTGTTGTATATGTATATGTATTTTTTTTTTTTGTAAAACAGGTTGTGTTGTTTGTTGGAAGCGGACCATGGGATCAGCTATTTGTTGGTGCAACTCACTAGCCTTGGCCATGGTAGCTATTTCAGCCTTCCCATGTGAACTTCTAGCCACCTTGGCTGTTTCTTGGTCTATACGAAAATCCAGTGCCCACCAATGAGGTATGTTTTATCCATTTTTTTCCATATTTATTTATCAACATGAGAAGTAAAGCATCATTTATCAGAACTTTGTATATAGATTTTGTTACTGATATTAGTTTCAACAAAGTAATTTCCTTCCATTTTTCCTTTCTTTGTGGAAATTCTTACACCTTTTCTTTCCCAACCAGTTAAACACCATGAATGGTCTGCATACATTTTTTCTTATTGCTCATTGGATTTGTAATTTGAATTGTATGTTGGATAAAACGTACTTGACAGAGCAAATGTCGACTGTAGTGACTTTGATAAGAATAATTAGGAGTAATATTATAACTAGAGGGTGCACAACCACGATGCCCATGTACCTTGCTGCATTCTATTTTTCCTTCCTCCACTGTTTTTGTCCCCACTTTTGTAAGTTTCACCATTCCCTGTCCTTGTGCTAACTGTCAGTCAAATACNTACTGCATTCTATTTTTCCTTCCTCCACTGTTTTTGTCCCACTTTTGTAAGTTTCACCATTCCCTGTCCTTGTGCTAACTGTCAGTCAAATACAAATGTTAAGCAACAACTGCCTTCATACAAAAATCACTTTGCATGGGGAGATGTTAGCCCAATAGGATAGGATATATGCTAATTACAATGATGATGATAGCTATGTTACAGAAGGTACCCATTTCAGCCAGGGAAAAATTCGGTGGAAGGCACTGAATATGTTCTCATCCCATCTAGTGTTAGTCAAGTAGAAGATTTGCCTTATCAATTGACTTAAGGGGTTTTTGGTCCCATACTCTGCTATTCATTTACAACATGAATCCTTCAAAGTGAGTGAAATGCCAATGCCCAAGCTATGATATATTGGAATATGGAACGGGGACCATCGACGATGGGGATCAGGGTAGTTTATCGAGCATTAAAGTGATGTGATCTCCTCATGAGAGAATGTCATCCAGATACAACAATAATTTTGGACGCTTCAATTTTGTGCCCAGCCCTTATGTCCTAAAATATGTGAATTTTGGAAACTGATTTAAGTACACACTAGACTAACACGCTTGCAAACACTTATACCATCCTTGACACGCAGTTTATGTTTGAAGCCTTTATGTCTTCCTACACGATGTGGTTGTGCAAGGCCTGCATATATACCTGTGATTGAAAAATGCTACTCATAAAGCATCTCTTTGTGCTTGTGGCAAATAAAATCTAATGATGGATAACAGTTGTGACTGAACGCTGTGTGGAACAAGTTATCTAGAATCAGGGGAGAATTTTTTTGAATACATGTAATGTAGAGATGGTGCTTTATGGCTAATCGTCATGTTTAAGCGAAGGAGGTCTCAGCTGTGCCACCGGGTATCACCATTAAGACTTCCTTACCAAACAAGCCAAGTTTCTAGTGATTGGGATATGGGATTTATTCCCAAAGAAAATATCATTTATGCTGCAGCAATGTTGACTACCCATTTGTGATATAATCACTGCTGGTCTCACGCAATTACTGCATAGAATGGGTGCATGATATCGTGAATATTGCTTAGTGGCTGACAGGTTTGTAAAGTATGCTGATTGAAACTTGATGGAGACCTCATTTATACTCTAGATTTTTGTTAAAGCTTGGCTGATTTTTGTGGAGGGTTCCTTTTAACATCATTCTCTCTTTTTCTTGCTTGCATCTGAACCCTGGAATAAATTCTTCTGGTTATTGCGCTTATCAGTATCTATAAAAGTCTGGTAGGCTTTAATGCTCACCAATGCATGAGAAAACATTTAAAAAATCTGTCCCTTGGTTCAGGTTATTGGAGAACTGTTGATGATATAAAAGGGAATATAATCCCAGTGGCAGGAGAACATCAGCCAGCTCATTAATTATATACATCAACGAGTTCAATTTGTATGGAATAACATCATTTTGAACTTCACGTGCCGAAAACCAAATGTATCTTAACCGAGTCATTAGCATGTCACGGAAAGAGAGAGAGAGCAATCTTTTTGAACAAAAAGGCATAGAATCAGTGAATGTTTTCTTGGTTCTTGGCAATTCTTATTATCTAAGGATGGTTGAAAATTTGTGGGTTTTGTAACTGTTGCCTGGACATGTCAAACACTAGAAGAGAGAACAGGGAATGATCTCTCCCTCTTGGAAAAGTTTCATTACGTACTGAACAAAGCATATTATGATGCTTTAAGTTCTATTTGCAATACTGTTAAAGAATTACCCGATGAAAAACATATTCTGGTAAACCGTACAGGTGAATCAGATGCTAACTCCTGGTCCTGGAACTTATTTCATATATCATTTCCAGAACCTAATGGTGTATTTGCTTATGGTGAACCCCACTTCTTGATTAGGATTATAAGTTCCAATATTTCATTGTTCCTTTTCCTATGCATTGGTGGAGGTATTTGAAACCGAGTTGTCCAAGTTAATTGCTTATGGTGAAACCCAGTTCCTGAATAGGGTAGTGAGTTCTAAAGTGATGGAAGTATTTGAAACCGGGTTGTCTAGATCGTTACAGATGATATATTTTGTCATTGAGACAGAAATCATGATAGCGGTACTGTGTACCTCTGTATGTTGTGTTGCACATTCACAGAGTGAGAGCTTTCAAGTGGCAACTTGTTGAGATGGAGACACATGAAATCTTGACATGAGGGTAAGGTTTTTCAAAGAAAACAATGTCTTGTACAAAAGGAAAACTGACTCTTGAAGTTGCTGACAGTGGTGGGAAAACTACGAAACAGAAATTTCAGTGCTCTTCTTGTTTGTGTAGATGATTTCAGAGCCTGTTGCTGCCTTACAGACACACAGACACAGAGCAAAGGCTCCCACTTAGAGAGACGAGACAGTGTAATCCCTGTTGTGAGAAAAGGGGCACAAGTTAAATGGTTGCAATTGGAGCACGTAGTTGCCTCTCAGATTGTTCCCTATCTCCCATCTGCCTCTTCTGTATACAGCCATCTGCTGCCACCCCCATTAACCATAGTGGTCCCTTACATGACACAACACCCACCCCCAACCCCCACCACCACCACCATATACCCAGAAAGATAACTTTTTTAATACAAACAAAAGGTGAAAAGGTCCAGTAGAATTGACACTTTTGGCCACTTCGAAACCCCACCTGTTTGTTCTTTGTTTTGAGAGAGAGAGACCTTGAAATCAATCGAGGAATGGGCAGATAGAGTATGCTGTATGCCCCCTTGCCAAACGCCAAGTCTCAAACCCCATTACTGGTTGACTTAATAAAACCCCACAACAAAGGCCGACCATGTAAGATTTATTAGAATAATAGCATAGGGTGTTTAACTGAATNGACTTAATAAAACCCCACAACAAAGGCCGACCATGTAAGATTTATTAGAATGATAGCATAGGGTGTTTAACTGAATAAATGCCTTAATTCGGACACAATATTCTCTCTCCTACTTCTTATCTTATCCCCCTTGGCTGAATTTGTGGTCAATAAGCATTAAGATGAGATGTAAACTAGCACGTCTTCGGTTCGTGTTTCACCAGCCACATAAAACTTAGGTGTAACTTATATATGNTAATAGCATAGGGTGTTTAACTGAATCAATGCCTTAAATCGGACAAAATATTCTCTCTCCTACTTCTTATCTTCTCCCCCTTGGTTGAATTTGTGGTCAATAAGCATTAAGATGAGATGTAAACTAGCACGTCTTCGGTTCGTGTTTCACCAACCACATAAAACTTAGGTGTAACTTATATATGTGCTTTACGAGTAATTGAGTATATTAAAGGTTTTGGTTGCCACCATAAATAAAAAATAAAATGTGTGCCTAGGACCATTCTCGCAAGTGGGGCGGGAAGAACTCCTCCTCAAGCTCATTATGTAGTACTCACCTTGATCACAAGCAAATTNAACCACATAAAACTTAGGTGTAACTTATATATGTGCTTTACGAGTAATTGAGTATATTAGAGGTTTTGGTTGCCACCATAAATAAAAAAAAAAAATGTGTGCCTAGGACCATTCTCGCAAGTGGGGCGGGAAGAACTCCTCCTCAAGCTCATTATGTAGTACTCACCTTGATCACAAGCAAATTACCCCCATTCCCCCAACAAAATCTCTACCATTTTGCCCTAAACAGGTGAAAAAAACAGCCAAAAAAAAAACCAAAGATTGGGACCTAGATTCTACATCAAACTTTTTCCTCTCAAATTGGGCAAGTAGCCAAAAGCGGTGTTTGGTTNTCCGGCATCTAATATCATATTTACAAATAGGAACAGTAAACCAGTCTAGCAAATGAGTTTGAACTTGACAAATTCATTTTTTAAATGTTCAAATTCAAGTAGTTCGATTATTTTACATATAAACGAATCGAATTTTAAGAATTTGAGTCTAACACGAGCCGAACTTATAAAACTTGTTTTCTAGAGGAATGAGCTAGAGTCGAATCCAATCCAAGCCAGAATAATTTGGATANTTTTCCTCTCAAATTGGGCAAGTAGCCAAAAGCGGTGTTTGGTTGTTCAAATCAGTTTCAGACACCAACAGTCATGCTCGTACTGTGGTGCGTCACATGGGCTGCGAAGGGAATGTAACATCCAATGCATGGTTGCCTTGGTACATGCCAACATTTTCATGGCCACACTTTACTGTTCATTGTCAATAAATGGGCCCGACTAAACTATCGAAAATGTTACACGTATAAAGTTATATTATTTTATTATTGCACAATTAATGATAATATGGCTAAGAATTNTGCCAGGTATAAAGTTATATTATTTTATTATTGCACAATTAATGATAATATGGCTAAGAATTATTTGTAGCATGGTTACAAAAATTATTTTTCAACATCATAGCTTTATCGGTCAATATATACGCCAATATGCCACTGTCATTTCACTACAACTGGAGAGAATTGAAATGCTTATCAATAAATTCCACTTGCCAATCCAAAGATAACTTTTATATTCCTCTTTTTCATTTTTTTTCTGGTGGAGATCAAAACCCAAAAGTGAAGAAAGTTTAAAAGATTATCCTCTCACTTAATCAAAAGATAAACTAAATTAGAGCAAACCCACCAATGCTAAAAGAGGCACACCACCATTATCACCTAACTTAATTTCGACTATAACATGCGCACACACACACACCAATCATCATCTAGACATACTTTCATTTCACAACCTACNATATGAAATATGTCTACGATCCATATAATTTGTCATAAAATTAATAAAGTTAAGTTGAGAAATTAAACATAAAATTCACAATATCAATCTCAATATTCATAAAATTGACGATCTAAATTTCAATATAATTGAATCTCAATCACATTAAAATTGACAATCTCAAGCCCTACAGCCACAACCTCAAGACTGTGTTTTGTGAATGTGCGAGAGAGAGAGAGAGAGAGAGNACTAGATAAGATCACAGCTTCTTGCCCCTCATATTCAGACCCTTCCTCTATTTTTAGGTATACTCCACCTTAAAGCGTCTTCATCCATCCTGACATATATTATTACAACAAGAAGAATCAAATAAATGTGTGTCTGTGTCTGGNAATAGATAAGATCACAGCTTCTTGCCCCTCATATTCAGACCCTTCCTCTATTTTTAGGTATACTCCACCTTAAAGCGTCTTCATCCGTCCTGACATATATTATTACAACAAGAAGAATCAAATAAATGTGTGTCTGTGTCTGGATGGAGAGAGAGAGAGAGAGGGGGGGAGGCCCCCACCACTCGTAAGCAAGAATTCCTGGAACTAGTAGCCGCTTTTTCGTGGCATTCATCTTAAGTCTTGAAAAATCGTGTAGGAAGCCAACAGTGGGACCCAATGGTTAGACGTATATATACCCATGTTGTGTCCCTTCCAATCAAGGCCCAAAAAGAACAGAACAAACAACACAAACACAAGCAGCGTTTCTATTAACCTTTTTTGTGTTTTAACTTTCAACCACGTTGCTAACACGTCTCTTTGGAGTTAGCTCTCCAAAAAGAACGTAGCTATGTGTAATCCAAATCCATCTTCTCCTTCCTCATTCGTCTCTAATAACAAATCCCATGTCATCAACCCCAGTAAAACCATGGATCTCCACACTGATGATGAACTCCATAGGTGGCCAACCCCTACTGAGGTAATAACACAAACCCATTTACATGAATTTAGAAAATATTACTGTGTGTGTGTGTGTGGACAAAGAGAGAGAGAGAGAAAGAGAATGTGATGTCATCTTTAACAAGCTCTCATTCTTGCATCTTCTTGCATTTAGGCACTGGAGGAAATGAAAGCCATAGGGAAGATCTCTGGGCCAACAGCTATCACAGGACTACTACTATATGCAAGAGCTATGATCTCCATGGTTTTTCTTGGCTATCTTGGTGAGCTTGAACTTGCTGGCGGTTCTCTCTCAATCGGGTTCGCGAACATCACCGGATACTCAGTCATCTCCGGCTTGGCCATGGGCATGGAACCCATTTGTGGGCAAGCTTATGGTGCAAAACAAATGAAGCTTCTTGGCCTAACTCTACAAAGAACTGTTCTTTTACTCTTCTCTACCGCAATACCAATCTCTTTCATGTGGCTCAAAATGAAAAGAATTCTCTTGTGGTGTGGCCAAGATGAAGAAATCTCTTCCATGGCTCAAACTTTCATCGTTTTCGCTATTCCTGACCTCTTCTTTCTCTCTCTCCTCCACCCACTACGTATCTATCTGAGGACTCAAAACATTACATTGCCATTAACTTACTGTTCTGCTATCTCTCTCCTCCTCCATGTACCTCTGACTTACCTTCTGGTGGTATATTTCAAGATGGGTATAGCCGGAGTGGCCTTAGCAATGGTCTGGACTAACCTCAATCTCTTCCTCTTGCTGTGTTCTTTTGTCTACTTTTCCGGCGTGCACAAAGACTCATGGGTGGCACCAAGCTCCGACTGCCTCCGGGGATGGTCGGCGTTGCTCCGGCTTGCAGTTCCGACGTGCCTCTCTGTTTGTCTCGAGTGGTGGTGGTATGAGTTCATGATAATGATCTGTGGACTTCTTCTAAACCCAAAAGCAACCATTGCTTCAATGGGAATTCTCATCCAAACAACCTCGTTAGTCTATGTCTTCCCTTCAGCTCTCAGCCTCGGAGTTTCCACCAGAGTCGGCAACGAACTCGGGGCAAACCGGCCTGCAAAAGCCCGCATTTCAATGATGGTTTCGCTCGTCGTCGCTGTGGCTCTAGGCCTCGCTGCCATGCTCTTCACCACCTTAATGAGGCATAGATGGGGTCGGTTTTTCACTGAAGATTCAGAGATTCTTGAACTTACCGCCATAGCATTACCCATCGCCGGAGTCTGTGAGCTCGGAAACTGCCCACAAACCACCGGTTGTGGAGTGTTGAGAGGAAGCGCACGGCCGACGATCGGAGCAAATATCAATTTGGGTTCATTTTACTTGGTGGGTATGCCGGTGGCGATCATCATGGGCTTCGTCGCCGGAATGGGGTTCGCCGGACTTTGGCTAGGATTGGTTGCAGCTCAGGCCTCGTGTGCCTTTCTCATGCTATATGTTCTATGTAGAACAGATTGGATTGTTCAAGTAGAGAGAGCCAAAGAGCTCACACAGTCTTCTTCTTCTTCCACTGCAACTTCATTACCAGTGACATCGCCATTAACAGAGAACACCACCAAGCTTGAAGCTAAGAAGATGGCTAATCTTGATGAGATTTTGTGCACTAATGATGGGTTGATGAAGTCAGATTCACTTGAAACAGACCCTCTGATATCTAAATCCATTGTTCATTGATTAGGAGTACTTTCTGCCATTTTTTGTCCCACTGTTGGGAACCTGATTATGATGTGAAAATTAGTCATTTGGATTTTACTCTCAATGTACCATAGAGTCTATAGGAGGAGAGTTTTGTTCTTTTTCTTTCACCCAATTGCTTCTTTTCTTACCTTTCTTCTAATGTAATTACAATAATATAATGGTTGAATGGAGCAATAGTTTCTTAAATTAAGCTGTCGGTTGTTTTAGAGGCGTAAGAGAGAGGATCCGCCAACCTCTCTTTTTGTTCCCTTCCATATAAGGCTATACGTTCATTCTATACCCAAAACGGAAAATTAGAACAATGCTCATCAACTCTGCCAAACCCACTCTCACACTATGAACTTTTCTCCTTTACTTTTTTTATTATTATTTTTTTTCATTATCCGGCATCTAATATCATATTTACAAATAGGAACAGTAAACCAGTCTAGCAAATGAGTTTGAACTTCACAAATTCATTTTTTAAATGTTCAAACTCAAGTAGTTCGATTATTTTACATATAAACTAATCGAATTTTAAGAATTTGAGTCTAACACGAGCCGAACTTATAAGACTTATTTTCTAGAGGAATGAGCTAGAGTCGAATCCAATCCAAGCCAGAATAATTTGGATAATTTATCACCCCTATTTACCAAATTTTTTCTTCACTACACAAAAATGTGTCCTCTAAATCATAATAAAATAATTTTATCGTTATATTTAAGACCACCTTTCGAACTCGTTTGCTTCATTCCAAAATGAACCTTTCCTTTAGAACTATGCCAACCTTGGCAAATGTTAGCTTTTTTCTTAATTTATTTTTCTTGCTGCTTCTATTATTTGGTTTCCTACCCAAAAATTATGAAACTGTTGCAATAATAAATAAATCAAAGTTGTGGAGGCCAATCAAAATAAAAGGTTAGAGCATATATGCTCTTACTTTCACTAGTTTTGTTTGAAGGTGATATTCTGGTTTTTTAATAGTACTATAAAGGATGATAGAAATACTAATAAAGAAAGCAAATTAAAGTTGCAACCTTCTCCTAATTTGCAAGAAATGAAAAATGCATTGGATTGAAAGTGGACTAATGTTATTAGAACTGGATCGGTCAATGAATCGATAAGAAGACCGGATCAATGATTCACTAGTTCAGCCGTTAGATCAACTGATCGGACCTGTTATATAATAAAAAAAAATAAAATATATATATATATATATATATATATATCATAAAATAAAATAATTTAACTAAAAAAATATGAAATATGTCTACGATCCATATAATTTGTCATAAAATTAATAAAGTTAAGTTGAGAAATTAAACATAAAATTCACAATATCAATCTCAATATTCATAAAATTGACGATCTAAATTTCAATATAATTGAATCTCAATCACATTAAAATTGACAATCTCAAGCCCTACAGCCACAACCTCAAGACTGTGTTTTGTGAATGTGCGAGAGAGAGAGAGAGAGAGAAGACATACATACGGCCAATATAAGTCTTACAACCACACATATACAGACACAGAGGCAGACAGAGAAAGAGGGTTTACTGTTCGTCACCTGGAGAAGGAAGCGAGAGAGATCGAGTTGAAGACAAAGACTGTTTGTTCGTCACCTCGCCTGAGTTGAAGACAGAGTCTTGTCTGTTCGTTTTAGAAACAGAGATCGATATAGGGCAAAAAGGGAATTTTTTTTTTTAATCAATTGAAATCCAACCAATTAGGTTCACGGTTTCGAGACAAATTCGGTCGGTTTAACGGTTTATTAATTGTCTAGGCGGTTCATCTCAAGAAACAAATTGTTTTAGGCCTCGGTTTACGGTCCAACCAATTTGACCGGCCGATCTAATCTAGTTTTAATAACATAGAAATGAATTACATCTAATCTAATTTTAGAATTTATAACTAATTTAATAATTATATTAAATTAAAATTTAAAATTAAGTGCATATAACATTATTTGCGAGAAATATGTGTGCACATTAAATTATACGCAAGTATTTTTTAAAGTAATGTTACTAAGAATTTAAAAATTAATTTAATAATATAATAATGCTATAATATAATAATAAATTAATATTATTAATATTTAAATAATAACGTAAGGATGTAACAGTGATATAGCTTAACAGTGTTGGTGTGATGCGATAATTGGTAAGAGAGAGGTGAAAAGGGCCCTGGATGGGTGTGGTAGGGGGGGGGCCGCTGGTTTCTAACTGAAGAAAACAATAAAGCTATTATTGCCTCTGTCTACTTCTCAGAGGACAAAAATGGGAGCAGTGCCTCTGCACACCAGTTTCCAGGCCCCCACCCCCAGCTTTCTCTTCTTTTTTTTTTTTGGTATTAAAAATGGACATATATAAGAATTTTGTTTTTTAGTCACGCATCAACGGGCAGAGATGTTTAAATTTTTAATTGATCGTAATTTTTTACTCCATCTTACTGAATGGTTAGCCGTAAAAATAAAAAAAAATATATAATTTTTTTTTTATTAAATCGAATAAAAATACGGAATACTCATCAATTTTCACATTCTTACTCTACCCTACCTGTAAAAAATATATTTAATATTTTTAGTAATTATAAGAGTATTTGTGTAATATAATTTATATTATAACATTGTTATTGTTGTTGATGTTTGAGTTGCGAAAATATGAACTTATTTTTTATGTAGGTTACATGATTTGTGGTAAATTATTGGAGCAGTTATGATTTTAATGTGTTTTATATGGTTTAAACTTAAAATAATTATTTTTTTTGTGTAACAATTATGATTGATTGATGTTTATACTTTATTATGTTTCAGTGTTATTGATTTATTGTGTTATTAATTTGGTGCATGTTATTTAATTGAATTGTTAAAATAATTTAAAAATTAATAGTTACAAAAATGTTTACCCTATTTTCTACTCGATTAATCGGGTAGGAATACCACACCTGATCGGGTAGGATAGGCCAATAAAAAAAATTTCTGTAAAGTATCGGGTAGAAAGACGGAAGACAATATTTCCTACCCCTAGGGTAGGGTGAACACCCTTACCTATGAGCTCGTTTGGTAGACGTATTACGAGGGAATTAAATATTAAATTTTATTATTTTTTATTTAATCGGGTCTAATACTTTACTTAGTAAGCAAATTTGATATCATATTAATTTCAAAAACGTATACTTATCATATATTTTTTATACGATAGATTTATATTATTGAGGTTTTTTAATACCATCAAAAGAGGTTGTATTATAATCTAATTCAAACGTATTATTCTACACAGTTACTATTATAACCCCTCAAATGATAAATTCAAGTTGTCATCAATGTAACAAACAATCATATTTAATCTTATCTTTAATTCATCTGTATTGTATTAGACTGTATAATTTTATCTAATTTACCCAATTTTAATACGGCAACCAATCGAGCCCTATATGTACGAAATGTTATCGCACCTATCTGGGGTTAAAATTAGAATTTTACCANTCTCACACTATGAACTTTTCTCCTTTACTTTTTTTATTATTATTTTTTTTCATTATGCGGCATCTAATATCATATTTACAAATAGGAACAGTAAACCAGTCTAGCAAATGAGTTTGAACTTCACAAATTCATTTTTTAAATGTTCAAACTCAAGTAGTTCGATTATTTTACATATAAACTAATCGAATTTTAAGAATTTGAGTCTAACACGAGCCGAACTTATAAGACTTATTTTCTAGAGGAATGAGCTAGAGTCGAATCCAATCCAAGCCAGAATAATTTGGATAATTTATCACCCCTATTTACCAAATTTTTTCTTCACTACACAAAAATGTGTCCTCTAAATCATAATAAAATAATTTTATCGTTATATTTAAGACCACCTTTCGAACTCGTTTGCTTCATTCCAAAATGAACCTTTCCTTTAGAACTATGCCAACCTTGGCAAATGTTAGCTTTTTTCTTAATTTATTTTTCTTGCTGCTTCTATTATTTGGTTTCCTACCCAAAAATTATGAAACTGTTGCAATAATAAATAAATCAAAGTTGTGGAGGCCAATCAAAATAAAAGGTTAGAGCATATATGCTCTTACTTTCACTAGTTTTGTTTGAAGGTGATATTCTGGTTTTTTAATAGTACTATAAAGGATGATAGAAATACTAATAAAGAAAGCAAATTAAAGTTGCAACCTTCTCCTAATTTGCAAGAAATGAAAAATGCATTGGATTGAAAGTGGACTAATGTTATTAGAACTGGATCGGTCAATGAATCGATAAGAAGACCGGATCAATGATTCACTAGTTCAGCCGTTAGATCAACTGATCGGACCTGTTATATAATAAAAAAAAATAAAATATATATATATATATATATATATATATCATAAAATAAAATAATTTAACTAAAAAAATATGAAATATGTCTACGATCCATATAATTTGTCATAAAATTAATAAAGTTAAGTTGAGAAATTAAACATAAAATTCACAATATCAATCTCAATATTCATAAAATTGACGATCTAAATTTCAATATAATTGAATCTCAATCACATTAAAATTGACAATCTCAAGCCCTACAGCCACAACCTCAAGACTGTGTTTTGTGAATGTGCGAGAGAGAGAGAGAGAGAGAAGACATACATACGGCCAATATAAGTCTTACAACCACACATATACAGACACAGAGGCAGACAGAGAAAGAGGGTTTACTGTTCGTCACCTGGAGAAGGAAGCGAGAGAGATCGAGTTGAAGACAAAGACTGTTTGTTCGTCACCTCGCCTGAGTTGAAGACAGAGTCTTGTCTGTTCGTTTTAGAAACAGAGATCGATATAGGGCAAAAAGGGAATTTTTTTTTTTAATCAATTGAAATCCAACCAATTAGGTTCACGGTTTCGAGACAAATTCGGTCGATTTAACGGTTTATTAATTGTCTAGGCGGTTCATCTCAAAAAACAAACTGTTTTAGGTCTTAGTTTACGGTCCAACCAATTTGACCGGCCGATCTAATCTAGTTTTAATAACATAGAAATGAATTACATCTAATCTAATTTTAGAATTTACAACTAATTTAATAATTACATTAAATTAAAATTTAAAATTAAATGCATATAGCATTATTTGCAAGAAATATGTGTGCACATTAAATTCTACGCAAGTATTTTTTAAAGTAATGTTACTAAGAATTTAA